GTTTTGAAGTATCATGATCCTTTTATCCATTGCTCTATCCATGACATGATTGCTAGTAAAGATTGGTTGGCTACCTTTATCTATGCCTTTCCTCAGAAATAAAAACAACCGAGGCTTTGGGAGGAGATTCTCCTCCTAAAACCCTGTAATGCTGAACCTTGGGCTCTCTTAGGTGACTTCAATAATATCTACACCCTATCTGAAAACGTTGGTGGTATTCCTAACCTTCATCCATCGATGTATCGTTTTACCAAATTTATAAATGACTGTGGTCCTTGTTCTTTGCCAACTGAAGGTGTACCTTTCACTTGGTCTAACAAACATCAAGATAATTTTGTTACTTTTGAAAGACTTGATCTCATGATTGCTAACCCTAGCTGGCTCTCTTTATACCATAACCTTAAGTTAGAAAACCTGGCCTTCCAAAGATCTTATCATGGCCCAATTTGTTTGTGTTAGAATTGTAGGGGAAACAAAGTGATTTTATTAGATTGGAGGAGAATAGTACATGGTTTTGTGTAGGCTAATTGGCCTTCTTAGCATATTGGCTTATTGGCCACCACACTTGATTTAGAATAGTTTGAGTTATTTGGCCCTTCACTTAGATTTGTGAGCTTATTGGCTCCACAACATAGCTTTACTTGGGTAGCTCTTGGCTCCCTTAGTTTGGGAGTTCTTTTTTGTTGAACTCCACATAGATTGGGAGTTGGTGGATGACGCCACTCCATCTTGCTTTGTTGTATTGCATGCCTATTTATAGGCATTATTTTCCGACATAGCCCAAGTTCCACCTCCTTGGTCTTTTTATTTCCAGCCATAAGTATGTGGCTTTGCCTAGAAACTTCTTATATTATTGTGGCTATTGTTTTGCCATCATGCTCCACCTCCTTGTTCTTTTCTCCACAACTCTAGGTTCTTCCATCAATAGTGATTCTTCTAGAACCTTTTGGATCTTTTTGTCACAAATGGGCATTAGTATTTTCAACAGTTTGACTTGCTCACCCACCCCCAATCCTAATCCCTCTAGAGCTTTTAAATTTGAGGCTATTTGGTTCTACCATTCTAAACACACGATTGAAAGAATATTGAAGTCCTCTTAGTTGAGGCATAGAAAAGAACTCATCCAAGCCAGTACTCCCCTTGAGCACAATGGCTTGATTAGAGGTCTAGAATAAGCGTAAACTCATCAAACAAAGCATTCTACATCGCCTATACCAGGTTTATTGGGCTGATCTCACCCCCAATAGTGGCACGCTTACGCAAACTACAAATTGGGCTAGAAGAAGCAGGTCGCCAGGGCCCAGCCTGCGCTTTCCCGCTGTTTTCAACCTGATCCAACTTTCAATTTTGTTCAAAATTAGACAAGTCCTCTCGCGAGTTTAGGATCCAATCTGGGCATTGGTGTTGACGCAACCTTCTCCTTTCTCCCGCTCCATTCCCAAGAAGGATCGACGGGAGAAGAAAAGAAAAAGGTATCAACACTAGTCTATTCTTTATCAAATCCCTTGATTACAAATGAACAATAGGTACAAGAGTTGGTTTATAGGACCCAACTAAAAACTTACTAATTACAAATGAAGCCCCGAATAGTAGAATTTTACATCATGAATCTATGAATCCTAAGATTCATTTCACCTTTGACAATGAGCGTTCCTACCATATTACTAATTACCAATAATCTCTTGCACTATAATATCATGTTTTGGCTTTCTAAATCTGTTCACCTGTTTTGATTTTAATCCTGTGATGGCAAGATAAAGTTCCCCATTTGCTTGACAACCATTGGTGGTCAATAAGTCAACTTTCTTTTGTGTATGAGTGTGCCACTGCTAGCAATGAAAATCCTTGTAGAATTCTTAAAAATAAATAACTTGCGCCCCAAGTTATTGATTTCTAAAGAAGCGATTGTGAATTTGGGTGAGGAATATCTCCCAAGTTCTTTTCTTTGCCTCAGACTGGTGAGGACTTCATAATTTTTCACAATACAAAATGGGTAGTTCTGGCCAGAATAGACAAAAATAAGACAAACTGTTTTAGGCAAAACTGCTAGTCACAGGACTCAAAAACAAAATGACAACTCCGAAGCAAGACAAAAGGATGTTGGACATTCGATTTTTGCCTGGATAACTGCCTCTGAACCGGGCTGGATTGGATGTGTCTGTGCTAGACTGGATTGTCAACACATTCAACTGATGAGTTTCAACTGGAAATCAATAGCAACGTTTGAGTTTGGCAGAGCTTCAATTTATTTTGGGCCATGGAAGGCTTGCTGAACTGGCAGAATTGAGGCCTCTTCAATCTAGAGAGGGCAAAAGTGGCTGGATTAATGATCACTGAGCTAGAGCTGCATTATCGAGCATGTTCTGCTTGACCAAGGCTTTTTGTAAATTTGCTGAGGTTTTCATATTTGTAAATAAAAAAATCCAGACTCTGCTTGACTTGGCTTTGTGCTGAACCAAATTTGTAACGAAAGAAATCTCGCTTTGTAAAACTGTTTCTCTAAACTAAACCGAAATCAGAAACTTGAATTCTAGCTGACTTGTTTCTTGTGGCTAAATGAGCTTTGGTTACTTCAGTATTTGAAGGCTTTTGAGATCAATGGATCTTTTGAGTTTGTCAATTGTGGCTTTCAGAGTTTTTGTCTTGATTGATTTTTTTGACTGTCCTTTGTTCTGTTCACCTCCTCTCATATTTACAAATAAAATATATAAAAAAATGCTGGAGTGGGGCTTCTAATCTTTAAATAATGGAAGGCAGATTTTCCAAAAGAAAGATCTTTTATTTTAAATGCCAAGAAAAAAGGGGATTTTATCTATTCTGGCAGAAAAGCTATCAATAGTCAGTTCTTATGGTGATCACTTCCCTGCCTTTCCTGAAAGAAAACCTAATCCCTTCTTACTCTTTAACTGCCCTTTGTAAGAATGCAATCTGCCATGATGGTTAGTTTGCTTTTCTAATGAACAACTCCCTGCTCCCTACTTATCTCTTTAAAAAATGTAGTCTGTTTATCCCTTGGAAATGACATTTGCTCTGTTGCAGAATTTCTCTGTATATAGAAAGGAATTTTGATCTTTTGGCTGCAAAGATTCAAAGAAGTCTTCCTTTTATACATGCCTTCATTAACTCACTGTCAACTCCTCTGTGATAGTTTGAAATTTTTTACTTTTTCAAAGTCAAGTAGTCAAGTGGGGCTTTTATGGGAAAACATTCTTTTAGTGAGAAAAGATCTACTGACTTGCTTTTGAGATTAAGTGGCGAGATTTCTTCAGAAGCTAGGTTTAATCTAATTTCTTAGAGGTTTTGACCTGCTTGGTGATGAATTGTCATCTAATTGGCAATTTTAATGATTTATTTATTCATTTTTTGTGTTTTTAAGCCTCTGCCCTTTTTTCTTTTTCTTTTTTTTTGAAAAATACATGGGCCTCCAATATTGATTGGGCTGCTTCCCTTTTCTTCAAAGCCCAAGATTGTTCATTTATCATGGTTTTGACAAATTCTGAGCTGGGCCTGCAGAATTTTGAGAAATTAGTCTGGACTTTCTCTATTTTGGGATGCTCTTTAATTTCTTTTAAACATCAAACCAAAGCTACGGCCAGACTATAATGAGGGGTAAGTTATAAGGGGTAAGTTATAAGGGGTTCACTTTATAGTCATTGGATCAATCCAAGGGCTGGGGAGAATTGGGATAAAGTTGTGCAATCGGGTAGGTGAGGAACCCAAACCCGAATTTAATATCCAGCAATGAAGTTGGTCCCAACAAAAAAAAAGAGAGGCAAGTTCGAAGTTTGAACAGAAAAAACCCATTGATCTCAAACTCATAGCTGAGAGAAACCGCTAAGCTCTGAGAAACGGTTGAAGGCAACGGGCAACGACGGTTGAAGGCAACGGGCAACGACGGTTGAAGGCAAAGGTTAACGACGGTTTAAACGCAACTCCACTATCTAAACCGTGAAAAAGTATTTATTTTGAGTGGAAGGAGCAAAGGCGTGGATTCTGAAACAGTGAAGACGAAGCAGTGGAAGGGGAAGGAGAGAAGCCGTATTCGTTGGAAGTGATAGGTTCCATTTGTGGAGCAAAGCCGCACAAAGACCCAACACAGACACCTTGCGATTGTTCAATAACCAGCATTTGGTGAGTAATTTATGGAATTTGAGTTTAGGGTTAGAGTAACCGTTTTCCCCAATTTGTACCATGAATGTTGTTAGATTTGGCATCTCTTCTTTGTGCTTCACTTGCATGTTAATTTTTGCTTGGGTATATGTTAAAAAACGAATGAATATAAAGTCAATAACATGTCAATAATGATATGAATAAGGTAATGGTGTTGAATTGGAGGAGGCCCTCAAAACCTTCCACATTTGAAGCAGTGCAGAGTGCAGATTATCTCTCTGGAGCTAGAATATATATAATTTTTGAAATAAATATTATTTCCGTTGTTACTAAATTTGCCTGTTAAAAATGAGAACAGATAATAATAAACTCATGAATAAAAGTGCAAAGCATTTGAAAAAAGGTTGATCTATGACGATTATGGCTGACTGAAGAAAAAGCTAGAAAGAAAGAAGGATGTGGCAATGGCTTAGCGAGCAGATAGCAGAGCAGATGCTTTGCTTTGCTTCCTTCCACCATCTTTCTCATTTATTTATTTATTTATTTTGTGTTGTGTATGAAATGACAATAATTGTCATGTGTGTGAAGTGCAGAACTTGCCTAGATTGCACTCACACTCACTCATGCATCAACCATTGATTGGAGTTTGGATCCATAAATAAAACACATGCTAGTGCTTGTAATTCACAGAATCATTGCATTAACAGGTATTTGCACAAAATATGTCATATTGCTTTGATGATGTTAAAGCCTGTGATCAGTAATCCCTATGCGCATGTACTTTGTAAAATTTGTAATGTGCTGGTTGACTAGTTGTGTAAATACCAATGTGATTGTGCAAATACGTGGTAGTATATGTGTTCACGTTATTTCATCTTGTATTTCAGGAAATGGGATCCAACGTTGAGCTGGTATGGCCAGAGTCAGAGGCATATTCCTCACGGGTGAACAACTGCTCACATGCAAATTCATCCCTAGCTGTAATTCGAGCGAAGTTGAGTGCCGAACAATTAGAACAATTCAAGACATCATGCTTTGGCCATCTTCTGAATATAGATAAGATTCAGTTTAGCGGGCAGATTGTGCATGGGGTTGTGTTGCGTAGAGTAGCGGGGCAGGGTGTGAAAGACTTGGATGGACTGAGTTTCTTAATAGGGTGCGACGTTGCTCAGTTCACTCGTCAGGATTTCTGTTTGATCTCAGGGCTTCGTTTTGGGGAAGTGCCTGAAGTTTCCAGTGGAGAAAGTGATGAAATTAGACTTCAGAAAAGATATTTTATAGACGAAGGAATTACATGTAATGCTTTAGAAGAAGCATTTGTGAGGTGCACAGAGGAAGATGACGTCTACAAGCTAGCTCTTGTTTACTTTGCTGAGTTAGTGGTTTTGGGAAGGGACAAACATTTGAACATCAATCTAAATTACCTGACCCTTGTAGAGGACTTGGATGCGTTCAACAGGTTTCCATGGGGTTCGGTGTCGTTTGACAAAACCCAAGACAGTCTGTTTTCTGCACCAACAAAGTATGTGAAAAGCTTTGAAAATGAAGAGGGAAGAGGGAAGGGGAAATGTAAGGTAACCGGAACAAGCCGGAGAAATGAGAAGGGCAAGAAGGATAACCATGGTGAAGTGCAAAGGGGTGGCTGGAGTTTTAAAGGTTTCACGTATGCTTTCCAGGTACATGGTAATAATGTTCATGTCGTTATGTTTTGTTGACTTTAAAACTTAAATAATAACTTGTGTCCTGTGAATTGTGTAGATTTGGGTATATGAATTAATTCCTAGAATGGTGGACCTGAATTACTGCAAGGTTGTTGATCCGACAGCTCTCCCGCGTATTTTGCGATGGAGAACTACTACGTCTGTTCCCGAGATGAGAAAGTTGAACAATTATTTTTTCCAGAGCAAAGAGGTTTGGTTTGCAGCCCTTGGAACTATTTATAAGATTCAATGAAATTATGAAGTAGAATGATTGCATATGACTCTTGTCTGTTTTCTGAAACAGTCAGTTCAGTTGCGGGCGCTATGTCCAAGTGAAGAGGAAATGAGACAACCATATTGGAGTTGGCCACAGGGTCGCCCTGCTGTTGTCTCGGCAGAGTCAATTCCTTCTTCATGTGCTGACCTTGATGAGTTGAACAAGGCGGTAAGCTTGTTGAGGTCCGAGTTGTTTCAAGTAAAGCGGGAAAAGGACGTCCTTGAGTTAAAGGTCATACGGATGGAAAAAATTTTGGGCCACTGTTTAGGTCCTCATTTTGAGCAGGAAGTGAGAAGGGACATAGCTTTACTGAAAGAGAGGACGAATCGTTGTGTCGTGTCACATCTATTTAAGGGATATGAGGAAGTGGATGGCATGCAATGGGATGAAGGGCCAAGTAATAGAAATGAAGGAGAGGAAAATGAAGAGGAGGACATTGAAGGGGGTGAAGGGCCAAATAACAGAAATGAGGGAGAGGACAAGGAAGAGGAGGGGATTGAAAGGGGTGAAGGGGCAAGTAAGACAAATGAGGGAGAGGAAAAGGAAGAGGAGGGGATTGAAGGGGGTGAAGTGCCAAGTAAGAGAAATGAGGGAGAGGAAAAGGAAGAGAAGGGGATTGAAGGAGGCCAAGTGCAAAGAAAACCAAGGGAGGTAGAGGAAGCTCAAAGGAAAAGAAGTGAGGGAGAGCAAGTGAAAATAAAAAGCAGCAAAGGAGAGGAAGCGCAAAGAAAGAGCATTGAGGGAGAGGAAGAACTGCAAAGAAAAAGCAGTGAGGGAGAGGATCCGAAAAAAAAAAAAAGGGCAAGGAAGTGAAAAGACAGAGAAGTGAGGAAAAGGAAGTGCAAAGAAACCAATGTGAGGAAGAGGATGATGAAGTTATGTTGGTTGGCGATGACATTGGCGAGAGCACGGAGGGGACAAAGGTTGAGGTTACTCTCGGGGACATTGATTTGGATCAACCTAGAGCTGTGTTATCTCAGTTGAACGTTTGGTTGAATGATGAAGGTCAAGGTGTGGAACGAGGGGTCCAATTACGGAAGAGGAAGAGGATTATTCCTATGTGGAAGATCGTTGAAGCTAGTGAAGTGGTTAAAAAAAATTTGCCAAAGACAACCGGACTTCGGACGTTAGACCCAATGAAGGCGATTCCGCATGATGATATGGTGAAATTGCTGAAACTTTGTTCGGAATGGCGCCATAACCCAAAGTAAGTCCTTTGTTTTTTGAGATAGAAGGCATGAGTGTATATATTTTGTAATTGTTGTGTTCTAAAACTTTTTTATATTCATAGTTTGGTGATGCAATTTGGCAACGTGGAAGCTGAGATTGAATTCTTCGCTTCCCTCGTCAAAGCTGACGGTTGGCTGAAAGGAGATGTAAGTTTAATTGATTATGCATTTGTTTGAATGTGCATAGATAATGAGATTGACAAGGAAAACATGTGCAGCACATTGATTTGGGCTTGTATCTCATCCGGAAGCGACAACAACAGTTGGAGGAAGTAGAAATATCGGATTGGACAACGACCGATGTATTTTTTATGGTATGTGATGCAGGATGCATAGGACCTAAATTGTTTAGTTTCCTAATTGATTTGTTAGTTTCCTATATTCTTTAGTTTTCCAAATCCTAGTAGGATTTCTAAGTTAGTTTTCCAAATCCTATTAGGATTTCTAAGTTTCCTATTTTATTAGGAATAGGATTTCTGTTTTACCTGGGGATTTTAATTCTATTCTCTCTAGGTTTTAGTTTGCTATAAATACCCCTGTGTAGTTCTTTACAATTCAGATTTGAATATTGATTAAACATTCCTTTAAACTCTCTGATTTCTGCCTGCCTTCTACCTTTTCTTCCCTTCAGCTTTTCTTATCTGTTATGTCTTATTGCTCTAAGTGTTTAAACTAACACACCCAGGGCTGTGCTACATCAGTATGGCATAGGCCTTGACCAAGTGCAGTTAATAATTACAAATTATCCATACTTGCTTTGTGGAGTTGTTTAACCATTGATTGTTTTCTATTTCACAGAATCACATCCATACTTGCTTTGCGGATAATAAAAGGAAAAAAGAGCAAGTTGGGTGGAAAATTAGAACCAGTTTAGTGAACGTTGTAAATGGCAAGGTTCCGGCTTGTGGATTGGATTGGCAGAACACGTATAAGGTGTATGTACCTTGTATGTTGCAAAAATATAAGCATTGGGTGGCTCTAGAGATTGATCTGATTCAGTGTGAAATCAAAGTCTACGATTCAATGGTTTCACTCATTCCAGATCAGAGCTTAAAGGAAGAACTCGGCCCCCTGTCAATTACGATTCCAAATCTTCTGCACACCCTCGACTTTTATGAAGAAGGTGTTTACGCGAACGAGTGCACCCGAGATTGGTGGTGTCCATGGCCAATACATCGTGTGGATGTTCCACAACAGGCTAATCAGTGAGCACAACTTTTTATTTAATTTTATTACTTTAATTTGTCAATTATGTTAGAATGTCATTAGTTGAATTGATCGAGTTCTTGTTTTGCTTCAGAGGCGATTGTGGTATGTTCGTGTTGAAGTACATTGAGCTGTTGAGTGCTGAGATTTCCTTAGCTACTTGCACCTCGCAGAACATGCCATTTTTTCGGTTGAAGTTGGCTGCAGAAATTGCACGGGGAGATGCTTACATGCCATGATATCGGTTGAACTTGGTTTAGGCACATGATGATGAAATAGGTTTTGGGAATGTCAAATTTCAAAGTCATGTAAATACACAATAGAGACCCATGGGTCCTTTTCGAATTCCACCTCTGCTCCTGAATTCTTCTTCGTCTTTCTCAATCTTAGTGTATTTGTGTACAGAAATTTAGATTTAAGTTACTGGACAATAACAATTAGAACCAAAATAGTGGCAAATATTATAGCGGATGCATGCTTTCATTTTGATTAGTGTGATATTACGCTATGTTTATTCTCATATTGTGCGAAATGTATATGGAGCTGGTTGCAGAGCATAGAAAAATGAAGACTCTGAAATGGAGATGCTGAGGGTTGGAGAGGAGAAAAGTAACTGGATCTGTAAATCTATTGCACGTGGGCAATCTAAATGGATAGGCAGATGCGTTTTTGAAGTTAGACACATGCCATTCCCATACATAGAATGTGCATATGGAGTGTAAAGTTTTTTTTGATGTAATGAAACAAACATCGGTGTAATATTGGCCTAACTCCTTCACGACATTTACCTAACCTCAACCAAACTGCATTGAATTGGGATTTGAAGACTGCATATGTGAATTTGGATTTGAAGAATGCATATTCACATAGGGACTGATGGCTTTTTAAGTGTATTACATCATTGCAAAGTGATATGTCATCATTTATCCAAGCCACCATTCCAAATATCAGATCCCAATCTTTAAGCCGTTCAACATGCCTTGACTTAATCGCAATGGGTTGCATCTTAAGGTAATTCTGTAAGGGGAATAGGCTGCTATGGCCTCGCCTCCAATATTTTATTCAACCATGCCCTCCTTATAGAAACACATGAAAAAATGTCCCCAGGTGCAATGCTCTAAAAATCCCTATTGGTTCCGCACTGCCCCTCGGGTTTGAATCCCTCTCTCCTTTATAATCGGTTAATAAATTGGTTGATTTTCTTTATTTTATTGGTTTTGGGCAGCTGAGTAACATAACAGTAATGTATATTGGTGCGTCTATATTGCATGTCTGTTGGGTCTATATTGCTTGTCTATTGCGTGCATATCTTTACATTTATTGCGTCTGTATTGATTTGTATTGCTTACGACGGAAATAAATAACAATACACAGGCAACAGACAAGCAATATACACGCAATAGATATGAAATATACACGCAATAGACATGCAATATACATCAGTCCCCAATTACATCAACCATAAGGAAGTCGTATTGAATAGGAAATTCTACTTAAGTTGTTCTTCCTACGAAAACAAAGAATAAGGACCGTTTCCCCCCTTAAATCTAACTGGAGTCCTACTTTTGCCCCCAATAAACATGCAATATTGGAGCAATAACATGCGATATACATGCAGTAAACACTCAATCAACTTTCAATAAACCTTCAATATCGGTTCAATAACATGTGAAATACATGCAGTTAACAATCATGAAACCTTCACGAAACATGTAAACAATCAATAAACCTTCAATAAACACTCAATATCGGAGTAATAACATGCAAATACATGCAGTTAATGAACCTTCAATAAACAGTCAATATCATGCGATTTACATGCAGTAAACAATCAATAAACAATCTATATACACTGAATAATTATGCAATCTTAAAAAAAAGGTATTGTCTTATTATTGCATCGTATTGGCCCTGTATTGTCATTTTATCGTCTTCGTATGACTTTATTTTTGTAAAGTAAGTCTAGGAAAGTTTTTACTGGGTTTCTGACAAGTAAATGCTTTTGTTTCAAACAATAATTTAAACTCAATGCTAATCCACCTATTTCAATAACAAAAATTACAAATTGGGTTTGAAAAGTCATTGGTGGTGCGTGCAACATGTGTTTTTGGGGAGAACTTTTACAATCCTTGAAACCGTGCACTTAATTGGTCATTAAAAGAACAAATAATATGACAATTGATACAACTAATAAAACTAATACCAAGTCCTTAATGGACTTCAGCATATTAAGCACTGTAGCATCATACGTGTCAGCTTGCTGATCTGCTTCAGCGGAGGTTACATCAACCCATTCGAATCCATTGCAACTGGTGGCTCCCTAATTGCAGGCATCATATATGCAAAATAATTCTGTCAGAGTTAGACCTAGGATTTTTTTTCACCCACATACATATTCTGGAAATGAGAACTTACATAGGAGGTTAGACACTTCCAAAATGGCTTCCCTCGATTTTTATCTGATTTTGAAACCCGAAGCACCATTGCAGCTCCACAATACTGACACCTCTTTGTTTGAGCGGGAGATGAAGACGAAGACATGTTGAATCTTATCACTTGTACCTCTTCTCACTCAGATCTTCTCACTAAAACCTCTTCGGACTCATACCTTCTCAGTTATACCCCTTCACTCATAAGTCATAACCCTAAACTTCTCACTCAGCTCTCTCTCATCTCTGCCCAAATCGAATTATATCCTTCTTTTCTGTGTGTGGGTGGGTTGGTCACGATCTGGACACCTGTACCGTCAGAATTGTGACACATTTTACTCCGATAAGCGATATACTATTTCACTACCAATTAATCTTACAATTGAGGGGACACTGCTTTAAATATATTATTTTCTTTATATTTCATTAAGGCAACTAGTTGGATAAGAATCCGTCATTTAATAGGGGTAGTGTGGTGTGGGAAAATGAAAAAGTATCTGATGGGACCTTCTGTCACTAGTCAGTAATCCATCACATTTGTATCAATGAATTTAATGGCGGGAAAAGCCTAACAATGGCTATGGAAATAGGTTATTAATTGACTTTTGGACGGTCTGACTCCCTTTGCATTTTGATGACGTTTTCCCTTCGCCTGTCTTATGTTTTGGGTGTTGAGTTCAGTTTCTTTAAAAAGGGTCAACTTGGTAAAACCCCAAGGAAACACCTTTTCAGAACAGTGCAACCAGAGGCTAAAACAAACCCAAAACCCCGTATATTCTCATTTCTCCCCTCTTGCAGTCCTCAAATCGTTCCATTCCAAAAATATTTCAATGAATTCCAAACATTACACTACAGTCGGAGGAAAGAGAAGGAAGCATCTCGATCCGGATGTGCCTCAAGCCTTCATCCCGGAATTAGCTTGGTTTAAAGTGATGTTATACGTGGCAAC